TAAGAAGCAACATGAGTATATACTGCAGAACTCCTGCTTGGGTTGATCAGATAACACAAATGCTCTGTCCTTCTAAAGAATTGTTTTCTGTAAGTTTCATCTGGAAAAAAATATTTCAACCTCGTCTTGTCTTAAGGAATGAAGTTTTTATCATCTTTGAATACCCACGTGTTTAGAGAGCACCCATGTTAGCTATTTAGTATAATAGTGCTGAGAGGGTCCTCGGGGCACACAAACCTGCAACAGTCAAGTGCAAGCCACAGTAAAAAGCAGAGCACAGCAGGCTGAAGATGATTTATGCAGTAGCTTCTCAGAAGTGTCTTAGAGGACTTTAGATGTTTTTAGGAAGCATGTTTTAGGGCAGAAGGCGTGTCTGCTAGATGTTGAGAACCAAACCATACAGTACTGATACTTAAAATGTAGTTATTTAGCAGCACAGAAAAGCACAATAAAACAGAATCTCTTTCCTTCGCTATTCTTTGTCCTACATTTTCTGTTGGGCTCACTTAACTTTATTATTCTTGTTAGTAAAGTGAATATCCAGCACTAAAGCTTTTAGGAAACACAGCGCTGTCTGCGCTGCAGGCCATTAAATCTTTGTAAATCAGCCCTGGAATATCATCCTTTCCAATACATCATTATCTTTTTGCATGGCGAGTTGCTCTAATTGCAAACTGTCTAGATGAGATCCCACCTGTGCATTGTAAAACCACCACAAAGCGTAATTGGATGCGTCTTAAGCGTTCTTGGCAGTCGTCAATCTTTTCTACCCCAGTGGCTTGTGAAGATATTAAAGGAAAGGACAGCATCAATGTGTGTAAAAGAAGGTATTGTCTACTTATTTTTACAGTGAGGAGAAATCCTTTTGTGGATTGGGAGGAGCAGGGAATCTCCAGCAATAAAAATGTCACCAAAAAATCGTGAACCCATTAATGACTCAATGTCTTTTGTTTCAGCAGCTTCACTGAGTTGCCTGCCAGTAGCTGAACACCACACTAACCCTCTGTTAAATTCCTTTTTTCCTTGTATTTAAACTAATTTTAAAATCTGTCTTCACTTCCTGCCTAGCTAAAGGGAGACAGAAGCAATGTGCATACTCTTCAAAATTGGACTCGTGGCCATTTCTTCAATTGCTTTCAAATGTGTTAATGCCAGCAGAGAGCAAAGCACTCTGTGTAATTACTGGCAAGGGTGCAACACTTCACTAGATTTTAATTCTCGGATGAAATCTACACAACCTGGTGTGTAGGTTGTCAGCATGGCTCAAGGACAGCCTTGTGTCTATCCAAGGTGACCATGGAGTTCATCTCCCATGCCAGGCAGCTGGTTCCCAAACTTAGCAGCTCTTTGGAAAGCCACAAGTGGCCATCCCTGCACTTGGACATTTGGCTCAAAGAGTTTGCATGGGAAGATCTGGATCCAGATTTAGTGACTGATACGGGATTATCTGCCTGTTGTTGGTGTATCTTTATGTTCAGGCATCTTCCAAAATAATGGTGCTCAGCAGCTTATGTGGTGGATGTTAGCAATGTAGATATATTGGAAAAGATTTTTTTAAAAACTGTTTATTGCTTTTGCAAGTTTCTTCTTTTCCTGTTCCCACTGTGGAAAAAAAACAACATGGAGATGTACAAATCTTTAAAGTGTCATAAAATGGGCATTGAAAAGTCACTGACACCAAGAGGAAGCCAAAGAAGGCTCCTCACTTTGTGTAAGCCTAGTATCATACAACATGAAAATCCTTTCGGCGTGTGTGGCTTTCAGCTCTCACACACATAACAGTAGTAGCAGCTAAATAAGCCAGACTGTCAGGTAGTTTTGCTAAAGAAATACAGCACTATCTAGTCAACAATTTTTGTTAGTTTCCCAAGAAAGCTTTTTAGCTAAACATTTCTCATCGAAAGTAAAGCTTGATCCACCGCTTTATCGTTACTAGCTATTAACCTACTTACTTCTGGCAAGTGTATAGGAAGCTTTCATATCCTTTTTTTTTTTTTTGAGTTGGAAAACTTCCATGGCAATGTAACAGCCATTTATGCCTTTGAAAATTATCACTATCCATTCCTATTCTTAGATAGAGGAAGTTACAGCCAGCATTTACTGCAAGCACACTATCCCTCGTGGAGCTTATAATAACATTTATTAGCCAATACTGTTGTATTCACTACGGGATATGTGTCTCAATGAGAAGGGGAAGTGGAGAGGGGAAGCAACTAATAGTATTTTACATATTTAGATAATTTTTTGTCCTCGGAACTTCCCGTGTCATTGTTTTTCCCCTAGGTCTTTTTGTTGATTTTTTTTTTTATCCTCCTTCTGTTTGGGGCTTTTTTTCCTGATAGATTCTTTCTTCTTTTGCCTCATCTCGCTTGGAGGGAGCCCCTTTCAAGTGACTCCCACTGTGCATATGTTGTTCCTTTAGGGCGTTACCTGAGATTTCTCTGAACCGTTCTGCCCATCCCTCTCTGAAGTCTTTAATCCCATGAAAAATCCTTCAGTAGTGGTTCCTACAGCTGCATTCACAGTTTCTGAGGCTGAAATGCAATCCTATTCTAGTATCTCCCTGGATTATCCCATGAGGTTGGTTCCTGGATCCCAGGTGGACTGTTTGAAATGGAACAAAATTAAGACCACGCACCTTTCAGTCCTTTCCCCTCCCAGCCTCCCATCTTCCACTAGTTCAGGATGGCAGGCTGAATTCAGAAGGCTGTACTTTCCCTCATGAATGAGTGTAGGGCTCATTCTGGTGGCTTTAGTTTGAAATTCAGACAGTTTAAATGTCTTTGCACTGCAATATCTCCTGAAATAGACTCCTGAATTCAGATTACGTACCATAGGAAGTCATGAGCTACTGCTGCTCTCGAATTTTCTCTGCATTGGGGAACACCAGTACAGTCACATATCACTGGAGACTGTCTTCTAAACTATAAAATTCCTGAGACCCACACCAATGAGTTTACAATCTTTGGTTACTTTAGCATTGTAGTATAACTTTATTCCTACTTCTGCTGAGTCTGGTATTTTGGGGTTGATTTCTGTGTATCCCACATTTTTCATTCCCAACATTTTAAGTTCCAGGTTTTCCTTTAAAGGTCAAATAATTTAATAAGCCTGTGGTTCTGCAGTTCACTGGGATGATGAAATTCCCATTAGGCTCATAGTCATCCCCTGCTTTACTACTAGTACTGCCTTCTGGTTTACACACTAACTATGTTCTTTCTGTCCTAGGGCAGAAGGGATAAATCTCTAGGCACATGTGTTTCATTTGTTTTAAAGAATCAAATATTAGACAACAGAACAAATAAACCAAATTATATTAGAAAACCTGACCACATCAAACTGAAAGAATTCAAGTATCCTTTTGCATCTCTAAAATCACCAACAAGCCCTCTCTCACAGATGTACACGTCCTGCATGGCTCTATTCTTTTCTTTGCTTTCACCAAAGCAAAAATCATTTTACTCAGTTCAGTGAAAACAAAGACCTGATCATCCGTGGTTTGCAGCAGTACAGAATAGCCTGATCCTCTGGTTTTGTTTTTGTCATTGGAAATTATTACACTGCAAGATAGGCTAACTTTTCTTGGAACTGCTTGGTTTTGCGCAGGCTTTATTTCAAACTGGAGTTCAAATTGTGTTTCTTGCATTGCCATTTCTTACATTAGCCCTCTGAATTTTTAACAGCCTTACTTGAGTCAGCCTATGAACTTTCCCATCCCCCCAAATCCACGCTTATGGTCTGCCAGTCCACAAATCAACTTTCTAGTAAATGTTTAATCAGTTTATGGCGGAAGAGTCTTTTTATGTAGGTTTCCAAAAAAGTCAGAGTTATGAAAGCAGTCCGGCAACCTATGCACGTGTGTCCGTCTAACCGTTTGGCTATCTGGTATTTGCAACAGCAAATACCTGTTGACCAGCATCTCCCCTCTCCAGAAGTGTAATGAAAATAGGCAACTGTATGAGATATCCCAATGCAGCAGGCTTGCCTACTAACAGGATAAAAAAATCTACTGCCATATGAGAATCCACTTGGGAATCAGAGAGCAGAAATGCCCAAAATGCAAGGAACTCTTCAGTCAGCTTGCATGATACAACAGTCTGAAGAATTTGATGGCAAGACACAGATCCAAGCTTTTGCCATTTCTGCAGCTTCTGGATTGCACGGCGGCTAGGGACATTAAGAGATGCTTGGGAGGAAAGTCTCATCTTTTCACATTCTTTACAGGGTCACTAGTTGATGTTTAGTTAGTTGGTGTCAGTAGTGTTGATGTTTAAATAAGTCAGATGGAATAGGCTCTAAAGGCACCTATTTTGCCTTACCAGTTGAGAAAGCAGCTAGCTCAGGTGCAGGCATCCGTGCTGCAAACACCTGTGTGTGCATGCAGTCCAGTGCACCCCACATCTGTGATCTGTCTGTAGGGGGACAGGAGTAGGACCTTTTTGAAGGGAGGATTCCGTCTGTTACTACACCCTGCTCAAACCCACTGATGTCAGCTATTGAGGAGCCCTAGGTTTGTCCCCTACCACCACTGGGGGACAAGGTCTGCTCCAAGTCTCAGAGGTGGAAGCAGACCCAGCAGACGTTAGTGTGACTGTGCCAGTGTGCTCTGGAGAGCTGTTAGTGGCCGTGCAGCTCAACTAGTGCTGTCACGGGGCAAAACATGTTCAGTAGAGAAAAGTACCTGGCCACCCCTACCAGCACTATCAGCCTCTCCACGTGAACCTCTTCTGATTTCTTAAAAGGTGTGTCTTAAGCTATTTATTTTTGTAGGAAGGCCTACTGTGTGTGCTAACAGGTAAGCTTCAGAAGCACGTATTTCAGTAATTAGCACAGCTTGTTGCTAAATTCGATCAAATGGTTCAGAAGAGACTTTGTAGTACTAAATTGTGGCTTGGTCCTGAGTGGTAACTGCCATCCATCCTTGCTGCTCTTGTGATGTGAATGGGCTGGGCTGGGCTGTCACTGTGTGTTAAGCTCTGCTCCTTTCCATGTTTTTGCAGGATTTCACGCTCCCACCTCCAGGAACACCAAGAAGAGCTGCGTTGAGCAGGAGTGCTCCTCCTGGCCTCAGTAAGCACGAGATGGCTATCTCGGGCAGCAGGAACTGGAAGGACAAGGCTGACCCTTTCAATGTGGTGGCTGCATCCTTGGTGAGCCAGCTGTCTGACCAGCAGAAGATAAGGAAGTCACCTCTTAGCCAGTTCAGAGGGGTGTATTTACCTCCTGCGCGGCACCCTTTAAACAAGACGTTAGTCAAGGGCGACAAGTGGAAGGATGTGGATAGCACCCAGGAAAAGCGCAGGTCCTTCCTGCATGACTTCTGTAAGAAATACAACAGCAGAAAGCAGCTGCGAACCCACCTCGTGCACCTGGTGTCGAGAATTTACGTGGAGGACAGGCACAAGGTCCTGTACTGCGAAGTGCCAAAAGCAGGCTGCTCCAATTGGAAGAGGGTCCTCATGGTGCTCAATGGACTCGCCGCTTCGGCACTCAACATTTCCCATGATGATGTGCACTATGGAAAGCATCTAAGGAAGCTGGACAGTTATGACCTAAAAGGGATATACACACGTTTGAACACATACACCAAGACTATATTTGTGCGTGATCCTATGGAAAGACTGGTATCTGCCTTCAGGGATAAGTTTGAACATCCAAACAGTTATTACCATCCAGTATTTGGGAAGGCAATAATTAAGAAGTATAGACATAATGCAAGTGAAGAAGCATTGAAAACAGGATCAGGGGTTAAATTCAAGGAGTTTATCCAGTATTTGTTAGATTCCCATCGCCCAGTAGGAATGGACATTCATTGGGAGCAAGTCAGTAAGCTCTGCTATCCCTGCCTCATCAACTATGATTTTATAGGAAAGTTTGAAAGCCTGGAAGAAGATGCCAATTACTTTTTGCAGCTGGTAGGTGCTCCAGCTGAGCTGAAGTTTCCTAAATTCAAAGACAGACATTCCTCTGATGAGAGAACAAGCGCAGAAGTAGTGAGGCAATACTTAAAGGAATTGTCTAAGGAGGAGAGACAGCTGACCTACAACTTCTATTACTTGGATTACTTAATGTTCAATTATACATCACCGATTGTATAGCACCAGAATAGCTTCAGGGTTCTATTAGATATTTATCATTTTGGGATTCAAAACAACTACTTTGATATTAGCCCTGAAAGGAAACAAAGTTACTGCTAAGTGGAGTTGTCTTGACTTAGTGGGGGTTTTATAAGTTGGAGTGACATCAATTGACATTAAATTATAGGAGAATGCACCAAAAAAAAAGACCTGTAAACAGCAGAAATTGCACTAAAATGCCTGAAAAAGATGCTTTTACCATTATGGATTACACTGTGGAAGTGGTAGCGCAGCCAGCTGTTGCGTTAACTTACCTAATGTCCTTTTAATGGTTTAGGAAAAAAAGCATTGAAAGAAGCATGATTCTTTTGTGGTGTATCTGCTTTAGAAATTGGTTTTGAAACTATTTTTGAATGTATTTTTTACTTTTTGTCACTTATTAATAAAGAAGCATTGGCTAATTTTCTAAAATGTTTGCAGCGTTCTCAGTTGCAGGGCTTGGTTGTTTCATTACCACTAGACTGTAGCTGTTTCTACACTGGATTGGTTTTTATTGAAGGATACTCTTGAATACAAATGTATAAAACTACAAATAACACAGCAGTGCAACTGCAGAGCAGAGAAAATTTGGGTAAGCCTGTGATCTGAAGTGACAATCCACTATCCTGTTTTGATAGATACATTAGAGTTGACAAACGTGACCCTCCTTTCATTGCCACATACGTTAAAACTAATATTTTAATTTACAGTGGAGTCAACCCCACAATGCATACTGTGGTCCAAATATTCAAGAGAGTCTTCGTCTTTAGCAGCAGGGCAAAGTCTTAGGTTGATAGCCATGAGACATTGTAAGGTCTGTACTGAGAATCAACTTCATTGCAACTGTTGTGACCACTCTTGGTCTGCAAGTGTCCAGTCATCAGTCCAGCTCCGGGCAATTTGTTGCACGGATGTGTATACAACTTGCCTCCAAAACCCATGGACTGGTTTTGTCCCCAGAACTCCCTGAAGTCACCTGTGTTTTGCTGTTCTTCTTGCCTTGTCAGCAGCCAGCAAACCCCAGGGATGGGGTGGACGCTGCAATGTTATGTGGTGGGATGGGTACTGGTGATTTGTCCTAGAGGTGGTTGTATTCAGACTCCCACAGTCCTGGTTTTTATAACCTCCTCCTCTTCCCTCTCCTCCTTCAAGTGCTGTCTGACCAATGATGAGTCCTGCAACCCAGAGTTGCACATGGCATTGTACGATGGGTGCCAGGGTGTCCCAGGAAGAGGAGAAATCCCTGCAGAATGGATAGGGAGAAACACCTACACCCTTCCAAAATAAAAATGGCACTTGTTCTTTGCTTCCTGGGGTGGTTTAGGGCATATTTCTCCAGTGTAATTGTTTTTTTCAAGTGAGACTATGGATTAGGACTTTAAATAGCGGCTCCTGACAAGAGTTTGGATTTTGTGCCATCCAACTTCCAAACTCATGTGAAAACTGTATTAGTTTTCACTTAAATTTGATCTTGGTGTAAAAAGTGTCTTTTCTGTTGACACAGCAGAGCTCTCTAGATCCTCTGCTCTTGTAAGTATGGATTCCCAGCTCAAATCCTGAATGAATCTCTCTTGCCTTGTAGGCAGGCCATTGAAGTTGTTAAATAAAAAATAAGTGTACACCAGCTTTTGATGTCTACATATTTTCTTTGTCTTGTCTATGTTGGATGTGTGTTAATTGTTAATTTACAGACCAAAAAATGGCTTATGTACCAATATATGGGGAAAAAAAAAAGTTTTAACATGCTAATAAAGAATGGAGGTCAATTTATATATGAGTTTCGTATTAATTCTTTAATTCAGAGAAATAAATAGTAGTAAATTACAAAGTCTCTGAAGAGCTTAAGCTTAACCTTGAGCTTGCTTTAGTGAAAAACTTTCAGCATCTGATCAGGGAATGAAAAAGACTTTTTCAGGGGGAGGATGTAATTGTATCGAAAAAGCTATACAGTCTCATAAGATTTCAACTACTAACTAATCTTAGATAAAGCTATTGTTTGAGTCAAGGGAGGGGTGAAAGAAGTTATTAGCAAATGTTTGGCTTCTGCAAATGAGACGGACGATGAGATTGATTTGCATGCATCTGTGGACATAGACATCAGGTCCCTGGATTGTCATCTGGAAAATCTGGTACAGTTTGCATTTGCGATTTAGAAGGGGAGGACACTACTTAAGGCCTTTCAAGCATGTATATGTGCACAGAAGTGTAATTGGTTTAGCCGCACTGTTGTTCTATGGCTCTGGTGAAAGTAATTTGACTTCTTTGTATGCTCAACCTCAAATTTCATAGCCCCTAACTGCACTTAAAAATTCATTTTTTGAAAATCTAACCCAGACTTTTGTAAAGAAGAGCCTCTCCATAGTCATCTTCAGCAACCTAAGGGATTCAGATGATCTCAGTAGCAGAATCTAGATTGTACTTTGCCTCATTAACCACATTTTGAAAATCACCAGCCTGCTTTGCCAGGAATTAAGTTACATGATTTAAAATTAACATAAGAGTTTAGCATAATTGAAGTGGGACTGTGATATCTGACTTATGGGATTATAAGAGATAAAGGCATAATTTGCAGTATAAAAGATAACCTCTATTTTTAAAAGTAAATTTTAAAAGGTCAAAGTGTGAAAGTATGAGCTTGGGTTGAAACTTGGCTCACATTTTGTAAGACTGCTAGGCAAAAACAAAAACTGAAGGTCATCTGCTATAACTAGTGTAAAATCCCACATCCACAACTGTGCACAGATGTTTGCTCTACTCAGAAAATTATATTGAACGTATGCAGAAGAGGAATGAAAATACGCTCCACAACATTCTGTGCAATTACTCTTGCACAAAAGATCAGCTGCAGCATGCAGAGCCTCTTTTGAGGGGCTTCATTACAGTAAATGCTTTTTAGTTATGAACATTTCTTTATTTGAAGATCTCTAAGTACATCTCTAATGCAGGTCAGTTGTCAGGGCAAGTCAAATGTGCTGTAAAGGCATTACAGCGAGTCCATGGGAGGGCTGGAGTGGGATGAGAGTGCTCCCTTGGCTCATTTGTCTCTTCCAAACAGCAGACAGTCGTGCTTCCTTCATGAAACCAAAACTTGATTTTTGGAAAATAATGTTCCATATTTGCCCTTTTTTCCTGAAACGAATCAGTGTTAAATAAAATTAAATTATTTTATTTAATAATAAGGTTGTCTTTCTTATAAGGTGTAAGAACCTTATAATATACCTTATAATAATAAGGTAAATATTTCAATTAATACATAAATTAAATAAAAATAAGAAATAATAAAAAAAAACTGCATAGGTGTGCATTCTCAGATTCTGATATATTTTCCCACATAAGGCAGTTTCCTCTTTCCATGTAGGATTTGGCTTGCAAAGCTGAGATACAGCCATTATGCTCATCTCATCTAAAAATGCTGGTAGGCTGTTGCTTGCTGGGAGTCAGAGGTGTGCAGCTACAGTGCAATCAGATATGGCCCATCCTCTTGAAATGTCCTCTGGTGTAACTCCCCCAAAAGGCCAAATTTATTGGAGCTACTCGTGCCTCAGGCTGTTCTATCTTAGTGATGTGTCATTGGAGATCACCACTTCAATTTTAAATGTAGTTTGAATTTAAATGAAAATTACAATATGACACTGTGCAAAAGTTTGAGAGGAAGATATTTTACTAGAGCTTTCTATTGTATATGTAGGTTATATATAAAAGTCTTTGTTGTATGTGCCTTCAGGCTAACAATGCATCAGATAAGTATTTTTAACTGTAATGTTAATACCATTTTATCAGCTGTGTAACCTGCTGTGATGCTTTCAAAACTAAATGAATCTGGCCTCGGAACGTAATGTTTGAAGTCAGACCATAAATTATTACACTTTATAAAAGATACAGATGCACTTGTCCTGTATCATTTAACAGTTCAGAGGGCAGGGCAGGAGCACAGAGTACCAGGGAGTGTAACTGCCTGACTCTGCAAAGGGAATCAACCCGTAACCCCAGATTCTTGGGATTGATTTGCCTTCTGAAATGTGGGTGGGTGGGGGGAAACAGTCATATTATTTAGTTTAATGAGAATGTCTTAGATTAAATTTGGTATTCATAAGAAAACCTATTTTGGGGGAGAACTGCTGAGCTCATGGCACTGTAGCTAAGTGCAGTGAGTCCCACAAATTTCTCATACGTTTGAGGTAGCTCTGCTGTGGCTGGAGTAACAGACTTGGACATCGGAGACCTGCATCCTCCTCTACATTCTCTAACTTCATGGAATTGTCAGACAAACTTGAACCATTCTCTGCCTCAGTTTCACCACTGATAAAGTGGTCCTGTAAATGGGAGGTAATTATACCATGTGGCTTCGGCTAAAATAATTGAATTCTGTGGATAAATAGCCACGTTTAGAAATTAGGTGTGGAATTTAACTCCTAGGATGGTCATGCCCTTTGTTTATGTTATATTTCCAGTGGCTCGGGGGAAGCCAAGGACTTCCCAGCTTTGTTCCAGCCGAGAAGTGCATCATTCAGCTCTGTTCTGGGCAGTTGGCAGCCTTAAGAATGCAAGCTCTGTTTCAAAACACTGTGCATCTGTCAAGCCTTCCCAGGCACTGCCTCAGCAGAAAACCAGTGCCAGGTTGTCTGACCAGGGGAAAGTGCCCCTCCGGTTCCTTTTGTACAGAGGAGAGCAGACAGAGACAGGCTGAGAATCTTGTTGTCTCATTTTATTCTGAGCCCAAACAAAGAGAAGCTATTTTAGTTTGGTGCAGCAGCCCAAAATAAAGTGATGCTTAACTAGAGGGTTCTGCAGAAGCCATGGATCCCATCTATGCATGCAAACCCCTGCCTTCTCCCAAACACATAACCCAGCCCTTCCTGAGGTCCTGCCAACCCCTGGGACAGTCTCCAGTTTACCTGGCTGCTGGTGGCCCTCAGGATTTACCTTCTACTGCCGTAGCCACTTTTTCCATGGCTCTGTGGAGGCTACTAATAATATGTAGACTGTTTTGATCAGGCTATGTTGCTTTCTTCTATTTGTCTTCTGAAAGTGACATGATTAACAACCCTGAGAGGGGAAAAAGAGTCCTTACAAGAAGAAAGGGAAAAATCTCAAGGCCACAATCATAACTTTATTTTTTTAAAAATATATATAATTGTTGCTTCCTTTCCTCTGTCTCCTCACACACAATTTCCTGCCCCCTTTAAGTATGTCAGCACAAACGGGTGCGACCAAATGCCGATTCACTCTCCACTGTCAAGTGTGAGCCAGCTCCAGCCCAGCACATCTATGTTATCATGGCACTGAGGCTGCACTAATAAGCCTGCCTGAGAGTGTGCTACTGTCAGTCACCATCTGTGCACACGTATCTGTCTTGTCCTTTTCATGTAGAAATTCCTCTTATGCCAGATTTTTTTCCCTTACGTTTCTTCCAGAAAGCACAGTTTCCACAGAACCTCCCAGTACTGCTCATTTCCCAAGATTTGCAAATTTGAAGTGTCCCATCTAATTTGCATTCAAGAAACAGCATTCTGAGACATAAGGTGTAGGAGCAGGTTTATCTGGGCGTTTCAGCACATAGAGATGTAAATCAGCACTCAGTGGATTGTAAATACATGTCAGTAGGATATTAAATGCTAAAGGTTTAATTTTCCCAAGCGAGATACTTAGGTGTAAAAACTGGATGTAGGAACACTAGCACCTGCCCATTGAACTATCTCATTCTTGATAAAAGTAGACACACACAAAGACTAATTTTTTTTAAATTTTGGTTATGATAATGAATTACAATTCCTCTGAGAAATAATGTGTTCAGAGAGATGACTTCAACTGCATAGCAGTTCCCTCCCTACTAACTGGCACAAATGCATATATAAATGCATGTACATGTTTTATAAATGCAGGTGCACACACACCGTACGTATATATATGTGAGTCATAACATTCAACCTCATGTTTCTCAGCAATGATAGTGGGAGCTACTCAGCTTAAGTCATCCATGCATTTGACTTAAGATATCATTTAAAGATCACACAATCGTCAGGGTTGGAAAGGACCTCTGAGATCACTGAGTCCAACCATACCTACACAAAAAAAACCACCCTACAATCTTGGCCACTAGAGCATGCCATGAAGTGCCACATCTACACATTTCTTAAATACCTCCAGGAGATCTTAAATGTGTATTAAGAAGCAAGAAACTCTCAAAAGAAACAGAGTTCTCATTATTTGGGATGTACAGAGAGAACTCAGATTAACTCTGTTTTCATGCCAGGCTCTCCAGGAGCCAGCAATGTGCCCTTGTTGTCAAGAGGGCCAATGGGATCCTGGGCTGCGTAGGGAAGAGTGTGGCCAGTAGGACGAGGGACGTCATTCTCCCCCTCTACTCTGCACTGGCGAGGCCACAACTGGAATACTGCATCCAGTTTTGGGCTCCCCAGTTCAAGAGGGACAGAGAACTACTGGAGAGAGTCCAACATAGGGCAACTAAGATGATTAAGGGACTAGAGCTAGACTAGAAAAGGCTCAAAGAGCTGGGACTCTTTAGCCTGGAGAAGAGAAGACTGAGGGGAGACCTCATCTATGTTTACAAGTTCCTGAAAGGTGGGTTGAAGGATGATGGAGCCAGATTCTTTTCAGTGGTTTCCAGCGATAGGACAAGGGGCAACAGACATAAGCTGGAA